CTATCGCTCCAGCCCCAAGAGAGTCGAGTCTTTCATGCCCATCCACGGACGTGCCGCGGGGGACCCCGTCCCCAACTGTCTGCCCACTGCCTGTGCACACCTGTTTTCTAGAGTCCACTGAGACGAAACCCTGGCCACTCACGGGCCCTTCCTAGGCCAGGACTCTCCTGGGACCGGGAAACGAGGCAGGAGAAAGGTGGGAGAACCCTGATACTCAAGATCCCCCGGGAAAAAGGTGGGAGAACCCTGGTACTTGGGATCCCCAAGTTTGGAGGCACAGTCTGGGCCTGAGTCACAACCTCCCGAAACGACTAGAATCTCAAGGGTGGGGGCCCTAAAACCCAGGAAGCCCAGCTGGAACCCGGTGAGGGTGCGTGCTCTGTCCAAGACACACAGCTGGAAAACGTCAGAATGCGGTGAGCTGGAGCGGTGAGCAGGAGACACCAGGACAGCAGAGGGGGCGGGGGAAGGAGGGGGAGGCAGGCTGGGGCTTGGCGGCTCCCTGGGACAGGGAAGGTGTGAGCCGCTGGCCAGGGGGAAGTGCTCAGGCCTCTAGCAGGGGCTGCTCTCGGCCCCAGCCTGTGGGGAGAGGTGAGGAGGGGAGAGCTGGAAAACACGGGAGGGGGGCCAAACAACCTCCTCAACCTCACTTTCTAATCTGCCCCCCCCAGCCCCCCCCCCCCCCCCCGCATCCTCACTGCGCTCGCAGACTTCTGTGGTGGACAGCTCAGCACTCACGAAGCAGTCAGGGCCTTTGGACAGCTCCAGGCCGCAGAGCCAGGCTGGGGCTCAGGCTGCCCAGCTCATTGCAGAGGGCTCCAAGCAGCGCCGGTGCTCACAGCCTGACCTCTGGGCGGCAGGACAGCAAAGGAGCGGCCTCCAGCCTCCCGAGCTCTGGCAGTTTGGTTCCAGTTCATTCCTCCTGAATTTATTCCCATGAACTCTCCCCAGGCCTGCTCAAGGGACGGATGAGGGCAGGCGCGCAGGGTGGGAGGTGGGAGAGAGCCCGAGATGAGAGCGTAGCCCCTGCGTGGGGAGTGCCTGTGTCTGACCTCCTCGGGTGTGTGTGTGTCAGATCCAGTGTGAGTGGGCGCCAGGTGTGTGCGAGGTCACGCTGCGTGTTAGCATATGGTGTGTACAAGGGCAGGGTGTGTGTGAGGCCAGAGTGGGAGTGCACGGGCGCCTGGGGGGGACATTGTGTGTGAGAGCACCAGTGTATGTGAGTGTGCAAGTACGTGGAGCTCGGAGGTGTGTGTGCACAAGCAGTGAGGTCAGGGGTCCCCTGAGATTTAGCTGGGACTGAGGTTGATGGATTGAGCCACAGAGAGTTCAGCAAACGGCTGCAGTGGAACCCTGGGCTAGTCTCCTCCCCACCCACCTACCTCCTTCCTTCCTTCCTTCCTTCCTTCCTTCCTTCCTTCCTTCCTTCCTTCCTTCTCCCCTTCCCTTCTCCCTCCCCTTCCCTCCTCCTCCCTCCTTCCTTCCTTCCTCCTCTCTCCTCCCTCCTTCCTTCCTTCCTCCTCTCTCCTCCCTTCCTTCTTTCCTTCCTTCCTCCTCCCTCCCTTCCTTCCCTCCTTCCTTCCTTCCTTCCCTCCCTCCTTCCCTCCTATCTTCCTCCCTTCCTTCCCTCCTTCCTTCCTCCTCCCTCCCTCCTTCTTTACTTCTTTCCTTCTTCCCTTCCTTCCCTCCCTCTTCTTATCTCTCTTTCCACTCTGTCTTTTTCCTTCCTTCCTCCCTCCCTCCCTCTTTCCCTCTTTCCCTCCGTCCCTTCCTTATTCCCTCTTTCCCTCCCTCTTTCCTTCCCTCCTTTCTTTCCTTCCTTCCACCCCTCCTTCCCTCCTCCCTTCTTTCCTTCCTCCCTCCCTCCTTTTCCCTCCCTTCCTCACTGCCTCCCTCCCTCCCACCCTTCCCTGCTGGGGAGCAGGGAGGTGGGCTCAGTGCAGCGCTGGGAAGCCCGCACCCAGAGCAAGGTCTCCAGCCCTACACATCACCTCCCTTCCCCTAACACCCCTTTCTCTTCCCTGCTTCTCTCGGAAACATGGTGAGTTTTAGTTCTCAAAATCATTTCACGTTGCCTGTCTCATTTGCTCTCCACAGCAATCTTGTGCGGTGGGTAGGAGAGGATTATTTCCCCACGTCACAGGTTCTGAAACTGCGACGGAGGACAATTTGGCAGAGTAAGTAAGTGGCTTAGAGGGCCTGAACATTCCCCCTGCCCTGGTTTCTACCCCAAAACTTCTTCCCACAGCATGATCCACTGGCCTGGGATGCAAGAACCTCCCCAGAAGCTCCCCTGGGCCCCACTCCAAGCTGGCGGACAGACCTGAAGGATTGCAGGATCTCCAATGCAAATGAGATGCAACTCACATGCCGAGCACGGAGCCTTTCCTTCTGGCCAGAGACCCCACCCCCTGTCCACCCCTTCCCTTCACCAGCCCAGCTGGGTGTCACCTGCAACAGCTTTCAAAAGCCAAGAAGATAATGTGGGAGTAGGTGGAGGGTGTCTGGACATGAGGGTGAGGCGGGGGAGCTGGCCCCCACTGTTGGGGACATGCATGCACGCTGCCCACTGGGCTTTCAGTATCTCTTGGCCCTGCTGGAGATGTGCTGACTTCCCTCCCCTCCCCCTAGGGGGGCGGAGGTCTCAGTACAGGACTGAAATGAGTGCCAATGGCAGTGCCCAGTTGGGCAGTGGCGAGCCTGGAACCGGGTTCTAGGCATCCTGCATCCCAGTCCAGCACTCTGCAACCAATGGGGCAAGACAGACCAGTCTCCCCTCCCAGACCCCCGGTTTCCCTAGCACTGCCATGAGCTGCTCGCCTCTCCAGCACCCCTGGACTCTAAAATATCTTGGAAGGGGGCTGGGCGGGGCAGCAAAGGATCTCTAAGCTGAATATAAAAGAGGTTTTGAGTTCCCAACCCCACGCTTCTGGATGTCTGTTCTCCAAGTCTAAACTCGCGGGGTTACAGTCCACCAAGGGCAGGGGACTCTTGCTCTTGAGGCTGGCAGTCCCTTTGACTTCCAAGTCTTCTGCCCATACCTGTGCCAGCTAGGGTCAAGGTGCTCCGGAAGCTGGTGACAAGTGGCCTGTGTAGGTCTGATGGCAGATGGGACTCAAGTGGGACAGGGCAAGAAGGGCAATGCCAGCCTCTCCACTGGCCCTTCAGTAACTCGGAGAAAAGAACCGCCCCCCCCCCCCAATATGCCCCTGATGCTACTTGTCTCAAAAATCCACATGGGGGGCTGGAGTGATAGTACTGTGGGCAGAGAGTTTGCCTTGCACATGGCCAACCCGGGTTCGATTCCCAGCATCCCATATGGTCCCCTGAGCCCCACCAGGAGTAATTCCTGAGTGCAGAGCCAGGAGTAACCCCTGTGCATCACCGAGTGTGACCCAAAAAGAAAAAAAAATCCACATGGCCCTCTCAGATGATCTCAAACATGGCCCAAGGGGAGGGTGCCTGAGTGCACACACATCACTGTCACTGTCACTGTCCTCCCGTTGTTCATCGATTTGCTCAAGCGGGCCCAGTAATGTCTCCAATGGAGACTTTGTTGTTACTGTGTTTGGCATATCGAATACATCACGGGTAGCTTTTCAGGCTCTCCGAGAGGGGCGGAGGAATCGAACTCGGGTTGGCCATGTTGGCTGCGTGCAAGGCAAACGCCCTACCTCTGTGCTATTGCTCCACTTCTCTATATATCTGCACCCCCCCCCCCCCAACATACACACACAACTCCTCTCCCCGAGGAGCACCACACAGGGCACTCACATACATACTAAGCTATTGTGAGGCACGCAGCAGGAGGTAGGGACTATTTGGACAGTTGGGACTTGGGGCTGGACAGGGGCCGGACAGTCGGGGAATAGCCCCTTCTCCCCGGGTCCAGTTGTGAACGGGAAACCCCTGCACTAGCCTTGCAGAGCTGATAGCAAAGGAGCCACTGGAGTTCAGAAAACCATAGAAGCATGTGGACTCCTGACCCGAATGCAACTGAACTGGAACACGGGTGTCAGTGGCCTAAGAAGCAGCCTGAAGCCTTGCAAAGGGACCTGGTGGATTCAGGCCTGTTTTTCTACCCCCAGTCTACTTTCTTCTCCTCCTCCTCCTCCTCCTCCTCCTCCTCCTCCTCCTCCTCCTCCTCCTCCTCGTCCACCTCCTCCTCTTCCTCACCTTCTCCTCCTCCTCCTCCTCCTCTTCCTCCTCCTCCTCCTCCATCTTCTGTTGCCCCCCCCCCCTTTTTTCCTGGTGAGGATATACCCAGCTCAGAGGTCCTGGCATAGCTCAGCAGCCCATGTGGTCCTGGGGATGGAACTTGGGGCTCCCATGTGCTAAGCATGTATGCTACCCTTTGAACCATCTCTCAGTTTCTCTGCTTTCTTCTTCTTCATCTTTTTGGGGGTGTGTGTGGGAGGAGAGGGGCACCGCTTGCGCTTGCTGTACTCAGAACTTACTCCTGGCTCTGTGCAACAGGGCTCACTCCTGGGGGAGCTCCGGGGACCATATAAGGTGTCACCATATAAGGTGTCGAGGATTAAGCTGTACCATCTCTCTGTCCACAGTCCTACTTTCTTCTAACTGGTTGAGCCAGTCTCTTGGGAGGAGCCCGGTCCCCATCAGGAAGCAAACAGGGTTGGCAGAGGCCCGGGAGAAGGGATGGGGGTCCAGGGAAAAAGGCGTCCGCAGCTCCCAGATTGCCTGAGCGGAGCTCCGGGTGGAGGTGAGCTGGCCCGCTGCCAGGTGCGGGCGCTCTCCTGGGCAGGTGGCAGCCGCCAGGCTGTACCGAGGGGGAGGTGCCAGCTGCCCGGGCGAGGCTGCAAGTCCGGGCACCTTCCTGCCGGAGGAGGCAGCAGCGCCGCCCGCCTTCCCAGGCTCCTGCACGTGGCCGGCGAGGACCTGGGGGGTCCCCCCGCGCGCGCGCGGGGATCGGGGCTGGGTGCTCGCATCTCCTCCCCTACCGCGCGGCCCTCAGCCCGGCCCTGGGGGTCGCGCCTTACCCAGAACCTGGAGCCGAGCTCCCCCGAGCCGCACAGGGAGTCCATGGGGCAGAGACTGGCGGTGGCGAGCAAGGCGGCGGCCAGACGAGGCGAGCAGGGCCACCGGCCTAGTCACCCGCCCGGCCAGTGGCCTCCGCCCCGCGCCCCGCCCCCCGGCACGCCCCCTCCGGCCTGCCCGGCTGGGGGCGGATCAGGCTCGCGGTGCCCCTGCCCTGCCAGGGGGTCAGGGCAGGCGGGGACGGGGACGCAGCAGGGTGGGGGCGGGTGTAGGGGTCAGCGGGGTAGGGAGGCAGAACAGGAGGGGACCGTGGGCTGGGGGTGGGCACAAGGGGCCGAGGGCAGGGTGGGGTGGGGTGGGCATCGAGGTGGGGGAGAAAGGGTGGGAGGGACAGGGCAGGGGGTGCAGGTAAGGGTATTCCACACAAGTCGCTGGACGGGAAAGGGCTGCCTCCACGTGCCCTAGCAGGCCTCCCGAGTCCATGGGGCTGAGCTGGGACCCGTGACCCCCAGACTGTGCACTCATTCCAGGGTCCCAGTCTTCTCATCTGTAAGACAGAAAAGCTCAGAGCTGGGAGCCTCTCTCCACAAGGGTGCGGGGCAGGCAACAAGGGGTGTGGGCGGGGGCAACACTGGGGATCCCCCGCCCCCTGAGCCCACACCTGCCCTCCTTGTCCGCGTGGCCCTGCCCCATGGGTGCCCTGGGTGAGCTCAACCCCACGTTCTAGGTGGGAACCGAGACCCGGAGTATCTCTGGCCCAGGGTGCCCTCATCACCGCTCCCTTCTTCCAGAAAGAGAATCTTCCTCGACAACTCTCCCGTCCCCTCCCCTCCCCTCCCCTCCCCATCTCGTCTGCTGAGGTGCCCAGCTCACCGCCCCCCCCCCATGATTCCTGTTCCCCAGACCCTTATGCAGGGGTGTGCGCTCACCCCTGGGAACCCCTGCTCCCCACCCCCCTGCTTTTCTCCTTGGCTGCCAGGTGGCAGGCAGGTGGGCGTGGGCAAGTGCCCCAGACAGCACCAGACACCCCTGTCCCTCCGGGATGCAGATTGGTCACCGAAGGGCAGCCATCAGCGTGGCAAGGGTGTGGGGCGGGCGGCCAAGTCTAGCCTCTCAGCCCTTTGCCCTCTCCCCTCTTCTCAACCCTGCACCTGGGGGTCCAAGGCTTTGCTGGGAGCTCACGCCGGCTTGCACTGCACTCGGGTTATATTTAGTTGTGAAGCGTCTCTCTTCCCTGCCAGGCTGAGCGGTCCCCAGTGTAACTGAGTCACCCAGATCCCCCTCAACGCCCGGGGCAATGTGCCGTGGGACTGCCACCAGCCCTGTCTGTCTCTGGAACTCAGTCCTTTCTCTTTCTTTTTCTTTTTCTTTTTTTTTTCAGGGTCCCTGAGTACTCGTGGATCCTCCCAACCAGTACTCAGGGACCCTGGGGTCACTCCTGGATGTTCTCAGTTTGTTGCTGCCACTAGGGGCAATCCCAGCAGTGCTTGGGGGACCCTGTGGTGCCCAGCATCAAATAAGGGCTTCTGTATCCCAGGCGCATATTCTAGCGTTCTGAGCTATTTCCTGGCCTAGGGCCTGTTTTCATATTATTTTTTTTTGGGGGGGGGGCTATATCCAGAGGTTCTCAGGTCTTACTCCTGGCTCTGCACTCAGGAATCACTCCTGGCGGACTTGGGGACCCATATGGGGTTCCGGGGATTGAACCCAGGTCAGCCATGTGCAAGGCTCTGCCAGCTGTACAATTGTTACAGCCTTACTTTTTGGGTTTGCTTTTTGGAATACACCTGGCAGTGCTCAAGGGTTATTCCTGGTTCTGTACTTGGGGTTCATTCCTGGAGGTACTTAGAGACTGTACTGCCAGGGATCGAACCCAAGCCTCCTGCATGCACAGCATGTGCTCAGTCCCTTAAGCTCTGTCTCAACCCAGGATTCAGTCTTTCTTTTTCATTTCTTTTTAAAAAAATTTTTGGATGGGCACCCCCAGTGATGCTCAAGGCTTACTCTTAGCTCTGTGTTCAGGGATTGCTCCTGAGGGGCTCAGGAGACTATATGGGATGCTGACCTGGGTCAGCCATGTGCAAAGCAAATGCCCTACCCACTGCACTATCGCTCCAACCCAAAACTCAGTCTGCTGAGTTGTATGGACCAGACCCCTTGCAAGGCCTTGCCCTGCCCGGCAGTGGAGTGTCGGAGGCCTCAGCTGCGGAGAATCTGCATCCAGCTCCCCATCTTGTTTGGGACCAGGTCCCTCGGCACATACCCTTTGGCCGCTGACAGACCTTCCCAAGCCTCTGAGATCACGGGGGAGAGCCTAGCCACCGGCCCTCACCTTCACGCCTCTCTCTCAGGCCTTTGGAGGTTCACCTTGCTGGTCCCTCATGGTCCCTTCCGCACAGCCCTTGCAGGACTGGTCCCCCCGGGACACTGTGGCTGTGTCACGACCCTCCTCGGGGAATGGCCCCAGGATGACTCACCCCAGGTGCTGGGAGCCTCCACGGTGTCTGCAGTGCACTCAGGCCCCACCTTCGAGGTGCCTTGGAATTCTGTCCCCCTGCCCTTACTTCCCCTTCTGTACTTCACAAACTCTACGTGTTCCCTTCTTAGGGATGGGGTTAGGTCACATCCTGCAGTGCTGTGGACTTCTCCTGGTGGTGCTGGTGGGAGGGAGGGGCCCTATGTAGTGCTGGGTGGGGACAAAGCTGGGCCCTGTGTGTGCAGGGCATTTGCATTACCTTGTACCGTCTCCCCAGCACCCCTCATCCTTGAAGCTAAGCCTCACCACTGAAGCCTTCCGGGACTCCCCACCCCACCCTGGGCTGGGAACCATCCTTGGCAGTGGACCCCCACACAGTGTCCATGCCGATGGTCTGCCCACCCTCCCCAGTAGACTGCCTGTCTGCTCCCGCCCGCCCCCCCCAGCCCCGGCCACGAGAAGATCTCGTTTCCTTTTCCCCAGCATTCTCAGCATTCTGGACAGTGCCTGGAAATTGTTTTTCATGAAGCACTTGCTGAGTCATTCCACAATGGTCTAAAAGGAGATCAGAAGGGCCAAAGAGAGCACAGTGGGTAAGGCCTTGCACGCAGCCAACCCGAGTTCAATTCCTGGCGTCCCATATGGTCTTTGGAGCACTGCCAGGAGTAACTCATAAGTGCAGAGCCAGGAGTAACTTCTGAGCATTGGTGAGTGCCCTTCACCCCAATGGAAAAGGACTGATCCCTGAGCACAGAGCCAGGAGTAAGTCATGAGCACTGCTGGGTATAATCCAAGAACAAAACAAAACCAAACCAAAAAAATGAATAAAAGGAGACCAGAGGGGCTGGAGCAATAGCACAGCAGGTAGCCAACCCGGGTTCGATACCCAGCATCCCATCCCATATGGTCCCCCGAGCACTGCCAGGAGCAATTCCCGAGTGCAGAGCCAGGAGTAAGCCCTGAGCATCACCGGTGTGACCACCCCCCCCCCCAAAAAAAGAAAAAAAAACAGACCAGAGACCATGAGCCCACAGTCCTGGCAGTGACGAGTGTCCATTCCACTCTTTATTATTATACTCTGGCTGTGACAGGGAACAGACCCAGGACCTTACACATGCAAGCAAGTACACCATGTACCCCAGCCCCCACTCTTTTTTTGGGGGAGGGGTTCAGACTCAGTGGTGCTCAGGGCTTACATCTGGGTCCATGCTCAGGAATCATTCCTGGAGGGGTCTCAAAGGACCATTTGGGGTGCTGGGGGTCAAACCTGAGTTTCTAGCCTTCTGCTGCACCCCCATGAGTTTTTATATCCAGCTGGAGGCTCCCAAAAGTAGCCATAAAGACCCCTGGGTCAGTTTGGATGGGGATGGGGAGAGACCTCCCCCAGCTTTCATGGCCCCAGGCCTATCCTCCGCCCCTAACCCATTACACCTCAGACAGGGTGGACGTTGCCTCAGACTGGGTGGACATTGCCTGGCGGTGCCTCCCTGCTGAGGAGCATTCCCAGGAAGCAGCCCGGGGGATTTCCTGGCAGGCAGATGGGGAGATAATTGCCAGGTACAGCTCAGAACAGAAATGGCAGCAGAGAGAAAAAAACAAGAGGGGCCGGGGAGACCCAGGGGCAGGGCATGTCACGGCACTCTGCCTGCTTGCTGCTCTCCACTCACACCGCCTGCCCCGCGGGTGGCCTCGACACGGTTGCCCCCAGCCCCCAGCCTGCCCTTGATCTGATTTGGCATGTCTGTGGGCACTGGCTGCTGTGCTCAATGCCGTTTTCAAAGCAAGAAGAATTTATTAGCTCCCCGGGCTGCAGTCAACGGCTGTCACACATTGACTGACGCTAAGCCACATCGGGCTCAGCCCAGTGCCCCGTGAGTCCTGCCCCGGCCACCACCTCCTTGACCAGCCTTTGCCATGCCCTCCAAGTCAGGAACCAGAACACAACTAATTCTGTTTTATTTTTTTCTTTTTTGGGGTCACACCCAGCGATGCACCCAGGAGTTACTCTTGGCTCATGCACTCAGGAATTACTCCGGGCGGTGCTCGGGGGACCATATGGGATGCTGAGAATCGAACCTGGGTTGGCCGCATGCAAGGCAAACGCCCTACTCACTGTGCTATCACTCCAGCCCCCACAACTAATTCTTTTGGGTAGAGCTGGAGGCAAGGGGGATGTTGGGCCAAACCTGGGGTCAGGGCTTACTCCTGGCTCTGGGCTCAGGGATCACTCCTATGGATGGAGCCATGGAGGTAGGACACTGCGTTTGCATGGGGTCAACCTGCGCTGATTCCTGGTTTGGGGGCCACATCTGGGGGTGCTCCGGGATTACTCCTGGCTCTATGCTCAGAAATCACTTCTGGTCATACCTTTTCTCTTTCTCTCTCTCTTTTTTTAATGTATTGGGATTTGGGGGCCATACCCTGTGGTCTCAGGGACCCAAGGAGTGATCTCTGGCAGTGCTGGGGTGAAGGGCAGGCTAGGGACTTTCACCAGGGTTGTGACTGGCGCAATGGCATGCAAAGCAAATACCTCACTTCCTATACTCTCTCTCCAGCCCTTGGGTTCGATCT